GCCAGTGTTAACACCTGGGTGTATAAGATGCCAAGCTATTTCTCTGCCTTTGTGTGTCTGTGGAGATGTGTACTTTGTTTCTCTCTATCTCTGTTCCTTTTTTTCTTTTCAACAAGAAGGCATCATATTTTTGTAATTCTTTTCAACTAGAGTTGAGCATCAAAACTGTGAAGTTTAAAAATATGTATATATGCCTGGGTCCTACTCTATTCTTTAAGTGTCAGGGGCCCCACCATATATATATACTTCTTAAAATCTTTACTGGTTATTCAGAGAGATATTTCTGGTTAAGAACCATTGTTGGAATAACACTGTCCAGCTTCTTTCTTTTCACATATGTCATGATTATGATCCTTTTTAATGGTTTTATAATAGGGCCAGGACTAGGTAGGGTTAAGGAGAGCGAGGCATGCACCCAGGGAGCAAAATTTATTGAGATGGCAAGAAAACGCCGTCATCAAGACAAATCATACTGTAATGCAATACTTAAAAAACTCAAAATTAATGCAAAAAATCCAAATCTTAAATTGACAGTATCCAATTCAGCATTCGCACAGTTTGGCCTCACCATCCTAACCCCGGTTTTACAGTGGCAGTGCCTTCATGTCTGGTTCTCAGCCTTGGCATATTGACATCTGGGCTGGATAACTTTTTGCTGTGGGGACCACCCTGTGCACTGTAGGGTGTTTAGCAGCATCCTTGCCCTCTACCATCTCGATGCCTGTAGCACACTCCCTTGACACCTGCTTTGTCACACCCTCAAGTATCTCCAGACACTGCCCAGTGGGGGGCAAAGTCTCCCACGTTGAGAACCCCTGTGTAATATGTGGTTCAGTTTCAACGAATTGAAATTTGTTGCCTCTGTCATGCGGAAAGATGTGTACTGTTAAGCAGTAAACGTTGTGTTTATGCAGTCACTTAGCGTGTAAGGCAGTTGATTCACTTGGAAGTGGTAGCTCTAAGCCTGTCTCTGTGGAGGTGGACCTTTGAGGTTAATGAGTTACCAGCTCTGAGCTCAATTTGGGGAGTGAAGGGGGCCTATTGAAACAGGAGTTCCTTCTCTTCAATAGTGTATTTTTACCAGTTGCAACCCATCCATCGTATCTGGTAACACTATGAATGTTCGTAAGGGGGGATGTTTTCATTGCATTTGGAAAGAAAATTGATATTCATGGTGACTCGGCATTTAATTTCTGTATTACTGTTTCCTGAAGTACAGGCTGGAGTTCTCACTGGGAAATGTCCCTGCCATGGATTATTAATGAGAAATGGAGGCCTGTTTTTTTTTCACTGAATCTCCATATCTCATTTGTTGGCTGGGCTACCCTAGGATGATCAAAACATCACAAGGTGCGAGATATCCACCGAAGGGCCCCAGTCAGAGGCCTTTGTATACGGAGATCTTGATTCTTCACCCAACTTCTGACCTCACGTGGGGCTATTTTGCCCTCCCTCCTTAAGCGGGCCAATGGTTTCCCCCCCAGGGAAAAAAGAGTTGTAACCTGTCTCTGTGGATACCACATCTGTTTTTATTTTCCCCTGGTATTTTTTAAGTAAGAAGAAATGTGTGTAGGTTAAAGGGCCTGTGGGGAGGAGGCTAGAGATAAACACTGTACAATGTGAAGCTCTTCCATATGGGGAATGTGAGGATGTTTGAGGACTGGGCCTCAATACGGACACTAGCTGAGCTCCTGGTAATTACTAGTGCCTTCATGATATATGTGGATTGCCATTTGATGTGTGGATGAGCCTTTTATTTGCAAATTAAAAGAGAATTTCAGAATCAATGGTTATGACCCCTCTTCCCTCAAACAGTAGGAAAGTGGGATAAGTATCAAGAGAGAGAGAAATGAATGTAGAGATAGTAAACCAGTCTGCCTGTGATGTTGGTCCAGTTCAATCACCATCATTTTCTAGTTTGTTGTCAAATGGTTCCCTGGTCTGAGAGTGAGGTCTTTGCAAAAATCTGGGCTGTTTCTCTTTTTGCCTTGCCCTAGTGTGGTTTCACCTGGAATGCAAAACCCCAAAGCTCTGTGTTATCCCACATTTGAAATATGAGTGGAAATATTTGACTTCTGTAGACAGAATCAGATTGCTTATAAAATCCGAAGGTTTGTGGAAGATGCCCTGAACTCAGCCTTTCATTCAAATCCACTGTTACTAAAACTTGCCAGCCAGAGCAATTACTTTGTCAAAGGTCTTGTTATTGCTCCTAATGTTAAGTAATAATTTGGTCCAGGTGCTGGGGAATGTGGGCAAAGAAATGAAGACATGCATCCATGGCTAGAACATAAATTATAGAGTTTAGAAAAAATGTTCTTGATTTAGTCTCTCCCGGAGAGGGAACCTTTCTGTAAATCTTCAGTCCTCGTTATAATTTTAAAGTTAAATTCTTTATGATTAAAAGCACTTGGCAAATAATGATTCATTTAAACTGTAGTTCTGATATATTACTCTAATTATTGTTACCATGCCGTGCCCTTTGGCCTGGAAGTGAAACTCATGTCCTCTTGACACCAAAGGTTAACAGAGCAGGAAGCCAGAGCAGTGTGTGTGCCTGCATGACCAGAATAATTTAGTAATTGTCTAATTACCTGAGGAGTATAATGCCACTGCTAAAAATAGTATTAAAAAATTAAACGAAAGTCGTTTTCTTGTTTCTCATAACCCATCTGTTCTCTATTTTGGGCAACCATGTGTTCATGGGTATGAAACGTGATTCATTCTAAAAGATCGGATGCCTTCTGCTCTGTTGGATAAAGTATGTTTTTAATGGAACACAGCATTCAGTAACTTCACAAACATCTCCAGCTTCCGAGACTCAGTTGTGGAGGCAGGAACACTATTGTAGCTCTTTTGTCCTAAACTGTGACTTAAAATCTGGAACTGATGTTGGTCAATTTTGATATTTATTTCTTCTTAGAAATGGAAAAAAAGTTCATGACAAATGAGGACTTCTAACCAGTATCTTAGGAATATTCAGTTGTTCATTTGTTCAACAAATACCTGTTGCTAGTTACTACTGCCATTGGTACTAGAATTCAATAAAGCTCTCTGTTCTCATGGTCTAACGGGAGAATTATAAGGTAAAGAATTCAGTTTCAGCCAGTGGAGACAATAACACCCATGGTAATATAGAAGTTTGGCTCCCAGTGGGGTGGGCACAGGGGGCAGCATGGATTAGGGGGCTCAGGGGAGGTGTCTTTGCGGAGGAAACATTGAATGGAGACCTGAATGATGAGGTGGAGTGAGCTAGCTCTGCAGGGATGTGGGAAACAGTGTTCTAGGAAGTGGGTCCGGTAAGTGCAAAGGTCCTGAGGCAGGGAGGAGGTTGGACAGAGAGGCTAATCAGGTGGGTCATGGGCGGGCACCTGAGTGTTTTTTATTGAACACTAACTCATAGACTGTTGACAAGTGGTCTCTTTCTAGTGGTCTTAATTTTTTATTGTATTTTAAGGCAGTAGAACCCCTTTATTCAAAGCTAGGCCTTCATGGTACCCGGTGTGTAACACAGATGGGTATGGGGTTGCTTGTCCTCCACGTTTGATGGTGCTGAGTGGGTTTCTCGGGATTTCTCTACTCGGCACGTGGGGTGAAAACCACGCCCCAGCCCACTCCTCTCATTTGCCGGAAACCGAGGCCCAGAGGGCAGATGGCACTTGCTCAAGGTCACACAGCTGTTCACATGCACCCGGGAATCAGGCTTAGATTTCTCAGCCTTCAGTACTCTTTTTACCATGTTGCTCAAAACCTTTTCCCCAACTTAACCCATTAGGAGGCCAAGCTGTGTGTTGAAAGGTATGAATGAAGGAACGGATGAGGGCTGTGTAAGCAACAGAACTGCTTAGACAAGAGTTAGGGTCCATGGCCAGTGTGGAAGGCAAAGCTTGAGTACTTTTAAGTTTACTCTTGAAAGTCTACCCTAGGTGGACTTCTAGGTACCATTTTGCAGCGTGTCCAGCCAGCCAGGCTTCTTTCTGGTTGTTACTGATACGCTCCCCGGACCTGCCCATGGTTGCTTGTTACCCCCTAGAGCCCCCATCCATACTGTTGGATTCATTTTTTAAAAAAAATTATTTATTTTTTGGCTGTGTTGGGTCTTGGTTGCTGCGCGTGGGCTTCTCTCTCTAGTTGCGGCAGGCGGGGGCTACTCTTCGTTGCGGTGTGTGAGCTTCTCCTTGCGGTGGCTTCTCTTGTTGTGGAGCACGGGTTCTAGGCGCGCAGGCTTCAGTAGTTGTGGCTCGCGGGCTCTAGAGTGCAGGCTCAGTAGCTGTGGCGCATGGGCTTGGTTGCTCCGCGGCATGTGGGATCTTCCTGGACCTGAGATCGAACCCGTGTCCCCTGCATTGGCAGGCGGATTCTTAACCACCGCGCCACCAGGGAAGTCCCCTGTCTTCAGTTTTAAACTGAGAGGAATGACCATTTAAAACAGCAGTTCTAAACTGGGCATGATTTTGGTCTCCATGGGCAATTGGCAACATCCGAAGACAGTTCTCCTGTTGCAACTGGGGGTTGCGTCTGGCATCTAGTAGATGGAGGCCAGAGAAGCTGCTAGCCATCCCAGTATGCACAGGACTCTCCCCCTGCCGCCAGCCCCAACGGAGAATTATCTCCCTCAAATGTCAGCAGTGCCGAGGTCCGGACGCCCTGGTCTGAAGCAGCAGCATCACTTGAAGTGTAATGGGGCCCCCACTCGGTCAGAGGCCCCCAGCACCACCCAAAGGAAGGCACATTCCCAGGTTCCCAGGTAGCATCACCCACAGTCACTAAGCTGTCATTTTTTTCCTCTATCTATTTTGCATTTTTGTTTTTGGCTGAACGCCCATGACCGGATCCCTGACTCGCAAGCCCTCATGGCGGTGTTACTGGAGACACCCCCACAGTGACGTGTGTTAGAGCAGCTGAAAGAGAAGCAGCGGCTCCGCAGGGTCGGTCTTCTTCCCTCTCGAGGTCCTTCTGTGTCTCTGGTCATCTTTCTCGTTGGTTTCCTCTTCTCATAGCAATCCCAGGACCCGCCCGCTCAGAAGGGCCCTGCGCTCACCACCAAGGTGCGGCGGACCATGGGCACCCGCGTGCACGAAGCCGTCAAGGCCATCGCGCTGTGCCACAACGTCACCCCCGTGTACGAGTCCAGCGGTGTCACTGACCAGGCCGAGGCGGAGAAGCAATACGAGGACTCCTGCCGCGTGTACCAGGCGTCCAGCCCGGACGAGGTAAGCCCCGGGCATGCGGGATGCCCTGCCCACTTCCCACCTGCTCCAGGTGGGGCCACCTGTCAGGGCAGCAGGATCCGGGATGATGCTGGGCCGCTAGGGAAACAGGCTGGCAAATGCCTGCAGCCCTCCCTTGATCTTCCTCTAGAAGGAGTAGCCTTGGACTTGAGATACATCCTGAGTTAGGAAACAGCGAGAGATCTTGTTTGTGGTTCCGACGGGCAGCGCATAAGGGGCACAGGTCCCATAAAACCACATTCCTTTTTTAAAAAGCAGCTTAATTAGGTATAATCCACATACCATACAGTCGCCCGTGTGACAGATACATACAGGTCAGTGGTTTTTTAAAATAGTATATTCACGGAGTTATGCAACCATTACCACAGTCGATTTTAGAATCGATTTTTGTGACACTTTGGTCAACCCAAAAGGAAGCACTCGGTGCCTGTATTCCCATAGACTCCCACCCTCCCTCCCTCCCTCCAGCCCCTGGCAACCACTGACCTACTTTCTATCTCGGTAGATTTGCCTATTCTGGACATTTCATACAAATGGAAACATACGCATTTTGTGTCTCACTTCTTTCACTTAGCGTGTATTTTCAAGATTCATCCATGTAGTAGCATGTATCTATACTTCATGTCTTTTTATGGATGAACAATATTCCATTGAATGGATGATACTGTGTTTTGTTTATCCAGTCTTTGGTTGATGAACATTTGGACTGTTGATATATTTTCTGTATATAATATATATATATGTGTGTATTTTCTTTGTGGGGGTCTATTGTGCTATGAAAATGTGTCCAGGTTTTTGCGCAGACATACGTGTTCATTTCTCTTGGTGTACGTATAGGATAGGGATTGCTGTGTCATGTTAAATTTATGTTTAGCCCTTGGAGAAACTGCCACGCTGTTTTCTAAAGTGGCTGCACCATTTTAAATTCCCACCTGCAAGGTATGAGGGCTCCGGTTTCTCTGCATCTTAGCTGACACTTGTCATCGTCCCTCCTTTTGATTCTCGCCGATCTAGTGAGTGTGAAGTGAAATCTCATTGTGGTTTTGATTTGTGTTTCTGATACCAGAGGTTAATAACGTTGATAACGTTGAGCATCTTTTTATGTGCTTATTGGCCCCTTTATGTATCTTCCTTGGAGAAATGTCTGTCCAGGTCCTCTGCCCACTTTTAATTGTGTTATGTGTCTTTTTGTCATTGAGTTGTAAGAGTTCTTTATGTATTTGAGATAAAAGCCTCCTGTCAGATATATGATTTCCAAATATTTTCTCCCATTCTATCTTTTTTTTTTTTTTTTTTTTTTTTTG